TTTGTGTAGTCACGCCATTTCGATTATGATTGCCAACTTGCACTCGTTTTTCCACTGCCACCTACCCCTATGTAGTACTAGTATAAACTCGTATTTTTGCGTTTTAGAATTTAAACGCGTAGATATGGCTATTAAAAAACTAAATATGTTTCACCTCAGGATGGAACTTAATGACTCTACTAAATACTTGCCGTATAATTGCGGTAGCAGGACGCGTGGATGGGACGCGTCCGGACTTGTTATTAAAACCAATTTAAAGGAAATTGAATTTCTAAAAAATCAGCTAAAAGCCATTGCACATCGTCATGATGTCATCGGCAGAGTGTCGACTATTTTCAATTAGGCGCATTCTTAGGCTTCTCTTTCATGAGTTAGAGAGGGTGTGTGTGTGTCTGTGTGTGTATTTAAAAGCGGAACACAAGTAGCTGCTGCTGACTAAGCGGAAGGCAACGTAGTGAAGTTTAAGTGAGTTTAAAAAGTTAAATCACTCAAGTAAGCAAGCAGGGGCGACAACCCTAGAGCCCATGACTCATGTATGTATAAACTACGCAGATATGTGTTTGTGTGTGTGGGTGGGTGCTGTACAAGTCGTAAGATATTCTCCAAGCTCTTTATGTGCGCCCCCATTTAACTGACATGGTCGACAGTGAGGATGGCTGCCCGTTAGTGCCAGTAATTTGCATTTCTTACATCGGGTCAGATGGAAAGGGTGGTTAGATACGAGACTCGACAGAGTCGCCAACTTATTGGATTGTACGGTTAATAAGCTATTTAGTTTTTAATTGGGTGTGTGGGCTGTAGTAAATCATTTATTGCTAACGTTTGCAATTATAAAGCAGACAAGCCATAAACTGTACACCGTTCGAGAAGAGCGTACAAATCTTGCCACTTTGCTCCTCGATGGTTAAGTGAAAGCGAGCATATAAATGATTGCGTTGAACTTGACTGAGTGGGTAATGGTTAGGAATAGTTGGTGAGCGGGAAGTGTATGAAGAGTTGACCGCAAAAGTGTATAAATTTCATGCTGACAGCTTAAACATACCCGAACGTGAGCGTGGTACACATATACAGGGACGTACAGGGACGTAGATGCCAGACTGTTGCTCGGTGATATCGCGTGTCCATTACACCGTCACCCCATATGTACTGTACGCGATGCAGACCCCACAATTTATTTAGTTCACTTGAAGAAAAGTTGAGTTAAAGGAACATTTTTCGGCTGTTCTGCAAGGGGCATGCATTTGGATGGTAAAATAAGTGTAAATAGTTCCTTGCTATACAGCTAGGAACTATTCACTATCAGAGGCTACACTTTATCCTGTGTAGAGCGTCTCTGAGAGAACAAAAAAGGAAACAAACCAATGCTTAAATTTCCAATTTCATTCTGATTTTATTTCTGAAATTCCTTCAGTATTTATACAATTTTTGCCTTATTTACTAGGTTTTTTTCTTATGTACTAATAATTCAATATTTTACTCTTTCTTATTTTCTAAACATTGTACTTACTCTAATTTTACATTTTTTGTCTTATTCTATCCTAACGGTGTCAAGTGGATTTCCCCTCCATATGTATATTTCAAGCCTTTCTTAAACGCAGTGTGCACCCACCCTTAAACGCTGCCGCGGTCCTATTTGCCTATGCATTTTCTGTTATCTACTATGCGTTGGTCTGTACCACTGCTGCATGCGGCTATTTTTAGACCGAGATTTGTTGTTTAGCCTATCTACTGCTTGTGCTCCCTATGCTAACTTCTGAGCTCTTGTTCACTTTTGTGAACAATAAGTGTGCCTCAAATTTTACAGCTCAAGCATTCATGTCGCATATTCTTGGATTTAAAGCAGTTTGTGATTATTCTTCAATAATTCATTCTTAATTAGTGTTGCTCTTTACAAGCAATCGTGCCTAGAATAGGGTAGAGAGACTAATTTAGTATGTAACCTATTTTTGCAGTGGGCTGAGCATTCCTTTCTTGTTTACGGTTTTTTGTGTAGCGCCCTGAGCGGACTCACTAACTCAACTGTTTTAGTAGTGCCTTATTGAATTTCGTTGTTTAATTCAGCGTGATACGCCCAGCCTATGCTTTTCCAACACGCAAGGAGGCGTGCTTCTGTGCACAGAAATAATAACATTAAGAACAATAGGTGCTATTTCTAACTGCTTTAGTTGAGCAAATGAAAATGTTGAATATATGATTGTCAATGTTTAAGTGAGCCTCCGGCGACTGAAATTGTTATGTTTCTGTAAACTACTCGAATTGTGTTATTCACTTCAAATCCGCACCAAAGTGAACAATGCGAGATTTAAGTTATATTGTAGTGCACAACAGAAATAAGATGTCTATCAAACTCAACAATTCGGTAGTGCAGTAAAGCTTCCTTAATAGTTGAAGTACGTTGAAGATGCTAGGAGGAGGGCAAGCTTCAGGGCCTTGCCAAGAAACGGGTACACAAGGCAGGGATTGTGGAGTAAGAACTAATTGGCAAAGTAAGGGTATTCAACAATGAATGGGAGCTTCATATAACTTGAACAAGAGCCTCAACTTTGACAAAGTTCAGGAATAAATGCTGCACATATACACAAGAGAGAACGCAAAACAACAAAATCAACATCAAATATGAATGTACCAGCAGCAACATACCCGTATGTATGTCAAAGCTTTCCAATTTGAAAGATTTTTACTTGCGAAAAACAGGAATATGACTGACAACTGCAGAAAGTATCTGTGCCAGCAAGCACCATGGGTCCGCTGGCGAATGGACGAACGACCAATTCTGAATTCAGAACGACTGCATGCCATGAAGACACACTTTGCTCTGGTTGACCACAACTTGCCTGCAGGCCTGAAAAGCAGCTAACAGCAAATATCAACTGAAAACGCACTCAACACCAGTAGCCGAGAAATTGTTTGATGGGTGGGTGGCCAAAATAAATCCATTAAAAACTTCCCTTCCTGCTGGTGCCTCTGTTGGTGGAAATGAAGAAGTGGTGGAGTGGCTGCCGCCAACGTCGAACTTCGTTTAAAGCGAATTTCGTGCGGAACCATGAATATCAAACAAGCAGGTCCAAAAGCTACAAACATTGCTTTTTGTTGCTTTAACTTTCGTGTGACATCATCGGCATCACGTGGAGTGCAAAGGCCGGTGGGCAGGTCGGCGGTCAGCTGCATGGCCAAGGAGCCCATTGAGTAGTTGGGGCGGTACATTTGCTTCAAGCTTTTTAAGGCTTACATAACGCTCTGCTCGAGCTCAGAGAATTTTGAGTGACGGCTCAGTGACACAAATTGCAGTTGTCGGCCCTTTCGGACATTGAAGCTAACAAAATAATATTTGCATGGATTTTTCGCTCTCCTACCCCTCCAGTTCTTTTTTTTTTGTCTTTCTTAAAAATATTGAATGAGAATTGTATATTGCAGGCCTAGCACGTCTAGTTCAGTCACTCCTTTATACCAACCGTGCTGTTCAAAGGAACCGTTTCTCGAATTCTTATTATAGGAAATATGTGTGCTATATACAAGACTGGTTGGCTGAATTATATAATATAGTGGCAGATCCCACAATGTATAAGGATCTTGATCAGCATGACAAGACGAGTTGATTTGTACTTTCCATAAGAGCTAGCGATACAAAATTTTGCACAGATGTCTTATATGTGTACGCTGTGGGATTTTATTTAAATGTTAAATGTTTATACTCTGTACTTAAAATGTACAAGAGTATATTAGGTTCACGGGAGCTGAAAATGTAACAGGCAGAAGGAGGCAGACCCCACAAAGTATATATAGCCCTGACTGTCCGTCTGTCCGTCTGCCCTGGATCTCAGAGACTATAAGAGCTAGAGACACCAAATTTTGCACAAAGATGCCTTATGTGTGTACGCTGTGCAAGTTTGTTTTATTTTTTTGATTTCCCCCCCTGTGTAGTTATAGGCTTTTCTATAACTAATAATAGGCAAGAATTAATATTCAACGGTGCGAAATTGTTCGAATTAAAAATGCTATTTATTTATAAGTGCTTGGTTGCGATACAAATAGTACAAGTTCGTTATTAAGAGCCTTAGGCAAAATTATAGCAAATTAAGAAAAATGCGTAAGGAAAATAGGAATTTGAGCGACAAAGCAAATAATGAGTTAAGTTTACGTTAAATGGCTCAACTTGCTGCACAGAACAAGATTACAAATTGAGTGATTTTGTGATCGAATTAAACAAATGTATCTATGATGAATTGTTGCCTTTTGGCTGTGGCGACTGCATAACCAAACAACCCCCAATTCCCCCCTATGGGCGTTTTCCCGATTTTCCATTCGTATTATCGCCTATATATCGGAGACTATAAGACCTAGGGACACACAATTTTAGTCCCAGATGCCTTAAGTGAATACGCAGAAAATGTGTATTTTGGAATTCTCCTCTCTCCCCCGCAAATCGTAACTCCCGTAATTCTTGGAATTTAGAACAAAAACTTGGCAAACTAGTTATTATAAGTCCAAATGCTAAGTTTCATCGTGATAGGCCGATATAATAGGAAGTTATAGCCATATATAGTATGTACATGAGACCAAGTAGTGCCTGCAGTTGTTGTTGTTGTTACTGCTTTGCTCAGGCACACGAGACATACACAGACAAAATTAAAAATGCTATTTATTTATACACGCATAATTATTCTACACATATGTACAGAGTATTTCAAAGTCGGGATACCCGACTTTAGCTTCTCTACTTGTTCAAAATCTGTTTGTTTCTTATTTCTGTTTGCATTGTACTTTAAAGCCGCGGCTTCATCTTTGGCTTTAGTTTGCAAACGTGCCAGCCGAATATATTTAAGCAGAAGACAACTTAAATTTTTAGCCGAAAAAGTGTAAGTAGTTTAGTATACCATCCATAATAAATGCGGGGCTAAATGACTTACCGGAGTGCACTTGGCTACAACCTATCTAATGCAACAATTTAACGCTACTTTAAAAACAAATTTCATAGAACTTCTTCATGGGTTTTCTTGCAGGAAAATGGAAGATCAGTTCCTGATGTTACCGCCAGCCCGGGACGTGCACCGCCCGGTCCGCTACCTGCCAACCAGCTGTCCGGACTGGGCAATCAACAGCAGCAGCACCTTCAACAGCAGCAACTGTCGCATCACCAGCAACAACATCATGGTAATCAGCAGCAGCAACGCGGTCAGAATGCCACCGGCGGCGTCAAGGAGCCGGTGCTGTTACAGGGTGACTTTCGAAAAGTTAGTGGGATTAGTTCCGAGATCTTTCGGCAGATAGAAGCAGTGGAGAATGATCATGATCCGAACACGGCTGCCGCTTTGGAGGCGGTGGAGCGACGAGGCGAAATGATTGTTCGCATTCTGGAGCCGCGATGCATGGGAAGTAAGCAAGCCGTCGAGGCGGCGCACAAGCTTATGAGCAAAGGCGATGGCCGACATACGGTGCAGCTGGTTGAGATTGTGAAAAGGCCTGGTCAGACCTTAGGCCTGTACATACGTGAAGGGAACGGCGCCGATCGCACCGATGGTGTCTTTATTTCTCGTATTGCGCTTGAATCGGCTGTGTACAATAGTGGATGCCTAAGGGTGAGCGAAAAATAGTAGTTAAGCTCACAATCAAATGAGTTCCTAGCAGACCAATTAGGATGCTGACCTTAAAGGTTTAAAGTATAATTGAGTAAAACTATTGGAAATTTCATCTAAAAGAGATCGAAACATAAATAATAAATAAAATAAAATATGTGTGCACTAATAGCCGCGTTTATAAAGTGAAATTTAAATCTTTTAGTAAACCAATTTTACTTTAACCTTTATATTTTCGAATAAGCTAATTTGTATTGTATATTTGTGTATTAGGTGGGCGACGAAATCTTGGCCGTTAATTTGGTGGACGTCACGCACATGTCGCTGGACGATGTCGTCATTATCATGTCAATTCCGCGACGTCTGGTACTTGCTATACGCCAGCGGCGTGGTAATCGCGGCACCGGTTCTCCAGGTCCACCCACGCTATCTCGACCGGAGCAGAAACCGCCGCCAGTAGTGGTCATCAAGCGCGATCTCAGAGAAGAAGACTTGGACGAGACGGATCGTATGCCGCGCTCGCGATCATCACGAGAAAGACGTACAGGTAGTTCGACATGTGCGCCAGTTTTGAAATACTTATCGTGTTCCTTTTCTTCCTACACCCAGGTGACGGGCGTGAGATGACCGAGTCGCGCTCTCGGCTGGGTTTGGGCTTGAACAATTACAGTCCGCAATCGGAGCAGCTCGATATGTACTACAATACACGTGCTGGCGTCAATGCTATTGGGGACCCGCCAAGCTGGGGCTACAAGCCACCACCACCACCCTCTGTCATCACTGAACAACCAAAAGGTCATGCGTTTGCGCCCTCACATGCCTACTATCAAAACGCGGGCACGCTGGAGAGCCTGGCAGAGAAGGTGCACGCATTTTACCCTGGAGGCCCTTCGCGTCGTATGTCCACGGGAACGGGTGTGGGTTTGGCACAGCAGCATGCACGTTTCCCGCGCTCCGGTTCTGATCAGCACCTACCGCGTGTAGAGTATGCAGACTATTCCAACTCCCTGGGCCGACATTCCCTATTACGTTCGAGCCTAAAACCTGGCACGGGAGTTGGTGGAGCGCCCATGGGTGTGGGCGGTACTCTAGGTCGTTACGGACGTTACGAGCAGCAGCGCGGCGGTGTTTCTAAGTATGGACAGACGAATGCGGGTGCGCAGTCACTTACCCGACGATCTCGGCCCAACCTTGATTACTCCAGTGACACAGAGGCCACGATTGGCCCACGACCAAGCTACTACTATTACAATCGGCCCGCCATTGGTAGCATGCCACGTGGGGCCAGCGGTGTGGGAGGTGCAACCGCTGCCCTTCTAGCCGGCGCTCCCGATCTTAACAAGTTCAATTCGCTGCCTCGCGAACGTCCCGGTGTAAGACTCCAGGGTATACGTGCGAGAATTGGAGATCGCATATTGGACGAGAGTGACGGCAACATTTCGGCACCGGAGTTCGATGCGCGGAGAAGTCGTGATTTGCGGCAACGTATTACAGCCAGCCCTTCGATCTTTACGGCAGATGAATATCGAGCCTGGCTAAGGCGAGCGCCTAGCAGCTCCGCCATCGCCGAGCAGATGCGTATGACACGCGATATGTTTTCCCAGCAACGCTCACATCGCTTCTCCTGTAGTGCGGAAAACATACACGATGCGCTCAAGAACGTAAGTATTGGTGTAGTGCACAACTGATTAGATAGCCTTAATATATAGTCTAATCTTTTAAAAATATTTATATAACACATATTCATATATGATCAGTCAAAAATGGATCAGGTAACACTATTTAGTGAGCGATATTGAATAAATATTAAATACCATTGGTATCAATATGTTTTGAAAGACATATGGATGCGAGGCCAAAAATTACAAAATGCTAGGAAAAAGGCTTCATCACTGCATAGCTGCATCATAGAAAACGGAACATTTATGTAACCGCAGAATTGTAGTGAAAATCTTCCAAACCGTTCGTATTCTAAAAAAAAGTGCTTAGAGAGGACAGAACATTTTGTTGAATCCGAAAGTCTATGTTTACAATAAATATTCGTTCAAGCAAATGCTCCTGATGGAGTGTGATGCTGAAAATATGTCATTAAAATAGTTAGAAATCCCGCGAAGATAAGAGAATCACTTATATTAATATGCATCCGCCTTATACCATTGCAGACGGAGAGCATTTACTCCAGTCGCACAGGTATACTTGGCGCGGGGACACTAGATCGGAATCTTGGCCTCACCCGACCCATATCCGCGCTGCCTGTGCGCTCGATGTCGTCACAGCACATTGGAGGCGCGTCATCCATACGCTCGCCTAGCATACGTCGTATGCGTCAGTTGCTTGAGCTGTCTGCTGGTCCAGCTAGTCCCAGTGGCAGCATCATGAGCACCGGTGGCCATCAAAGTCCAGCGCCTACACCAAGCGCTACACTTCCGCGCCCGCATCGTCAAATTGACATCAATCCAGCTGAGTTTGCCAAGTATAAGTTGGACAAGCCGATTGTGGACATTGGGGGCGTTTCAGGAATGCTCTGGATACATCTGCTGGCTGGACGAGGACTGCGAACCGCTCCAGAGCTGGGCGCCCAGCACGCAGCAGCAAACCAACAGAACCTTACCCGAGATCTGTACTGTGTCATCGAATGCGATCGTGTGCACAAAGCGCGAACCGTTGTGCGCTCTGGTGATCTGCAGTTTGATTGGGATGAGTCTTTTGAGCTGGATCTGGTGGGAAATAAGCAGCTGGACGTACTGGTATACTCCTGGGATCCACAGCACCGACATAAGCTGTGTTACCGTGGCGCTATCTCCCTGTCTGCGGTACTTCGACAGTCTCCATTGCACCAACTAGCGCTTAAGGTAGAACCTCGGGGTACTATTTACATACGCATGCGCCACACCGATCCAATCGCACTGTATAAACGTCGCGGCCTTCCTAGTCTGCGTGCCGGTTATCCCACACTCTTCGGTGCTGACTTAGAAACAGTCGTTAGTCGCGAGTCAAAGGGGGCCCCTGGAAGTGCCCCTGTGCCAATTGTGCTGCGCCGCTGTGTCGAGGAGGTGGAGAGACGCGGCCTCGATATTATCGGGCTCTACCGCCTCTGTGGTTCGGCAACAAAGAAACGTCTGCTGCGCGAAGCCTTTGAACGCAACAGCCGGGCCGTGGAATTGAGCCCGGAACATGTTCCTGATATCAATGTCATAACTGGCGTGCTGAAGGACTATCTCAGGGAGCTACCGGAGCCGTTGTTCACTCGCTGTCTCTTTCAGATGACAGTAGATGCTTTGGGTAAGAGATTAGCCCTTTTTTTTTATTCTTATCGTTAATATATTATTTGTCGACAGCTGTGTGCCTGCCTGATGATCCAGAAGGAAATGCGAAGCTCATGCTTAGCATACTCGATTGTCTGCCTAGGGCGAACAGGGTAAGTTGGTGTAGATTATGATATCGTCATTGCGGCAATGTCACACTTCCCTCTCCAGATAAGTTCGTTTGGTAGCCTAAATGGAAAACGAAATTAGCTAATTTTTTGACGTTATCTAACAGACACACATATGTTAACTGTATTATTTATTTTTCCTTGCATTTGCAGGCAACACTAGTTTTCCTGCTAGACCATTTGTCGCTCGTCGTTTCCAACTCCGAACGCAATAAGATGTCCGCACAAGCTCTGGCCACAGTGATGGGACCCCCGCTCATGTTGCACTCAGCCAATGCCCAGCCTAGTACCGATATCGACCATGCCCAGCCCATAGCGGTACTGAAATATCTGCTGCAGATTTGGCCCCAGCCGCAGGCACAGCATCACGCGCCTTCGGCACAGCATATAGGCGGTACGGCAGGTGCACTGATGGGTGGCATGGCCACAGGGGGCAGCATGAGCAACATGGCGGGCATTGCTTCAGGTAACGTAATCACTGCGTGATGTATTAAAGCACACAACACACTAACACACAAACTCTCTTGAGCCACAGTCACAGTCACACTCAGACTCAGGCACACATACTTGTAAAGAGAGAGAGAGAGAGAGAGAGAGAGAGAGAGAGAGAGGAATTATCAGATCACAATAGATCACATATTCGTATATACCAACAAGCACATGCATACATATTAGCAAGTGTTTTTATTCCGCTTTGAATGAGTGCTACAGGCACACTCGCAGTCTGGTCTCCTTTCCCTTCACTCTTTGAATGCGGCACAGAAACCGTTACGTTTCAAGATTTTTTCACACACGCAAACACACACACATACACACACTCATACATGCATAAAAAGTTCTGACCCAGCCTTAGACATCAAATCAAATCCCCCATCAACCAAATTACGTTCACATTAATATTGATTAATACAGAGTCCTATGTAGACAGGTCGGCGCGGCGAGTCAACAGGGCAGCGTGGAAGCAAAGTCAATGTGTTGCAAGCGGACAGACAACAAATCCTACTGCAGCAGCAGCAGCAGCTCATGGCGGCGGGCAACCTTCTACGCTCGTCCACTTCGGTAACCAACATACTCTCCCAAGGCCATCATCAGCTCTCAGCCACAGCCAACAGTCATCTGTATCAATCAGTAGTGGGTCAGTTAGCTCAATCGCATCGAGCCTTGCAACAAGCGGTGCAACAGGTAAACAACCACAACAACAGCCACAAACAACTAAAACTGCAGACGATAACAAACAACAACATCAGCAAACAGATAAAGATCGTTTAGGAACACCAACAACAACAGCTTACAACAGCAATTTTTTGAAACACTAAAACATTACAATAAACCAACATTTATACAAGTACATAATTATACCCACACAATAGTACTTACTCGGGTGTTACGATTAGACTGGCAAGTTATTTGTACACCCTCCGATGCCTTTTCTGAGAAGACCATAAAAAGTAATTTGCAAGCCGGTTTCTTAGGGACATTTTCAAATTAAATTTAATTAATTAAAAAGTTAAAAAGGCGTTTTCAGTTGGATAACAAAATTACTGACTTGAATAATAGTAGCATTATTTGGTAACAAAAAGTTCATTAATGACATTATTGATATAGAACTGTCAGTCTGTTATTAAAACGCTTTAGTGGATTGGGCAAGAAGTGCATTTGCAAACGTTTATAATCGTTAGCGCTCCAAAACATATATAGTATATAGTACTCATACCATAAAACCATTATTTACGCGATTTAAATTAATATTATATGCATGACATATTTTCAAAAATCGGCGAATTTGGGTGCAAATTATTTTCCAGTCTGATTGTAGCTTTAGACAGCGAGTTTCCATGGGTCTTTTATGTTAGAACGAGAGTTTCGTTTGTTTTATTTATATTTTTGATGAGGGAATTCTGAGCCGAGGAAATACTGCCATCACAGCCACAACCACACTAGCACACTTTCTACAACTTCTTCTTCCTTTTTTGATTTAATTTTTCCTGTTGGCCGTTTGTTAAGAGTAATAATACATATATACATATAAGATATCTACTTGTTTACGTACATACTGAACTAACTATTAATTAAATATGTAAAGCATTCTTTGTTGTTGACTTGATTTGTGCTTCATAACAACAAGAATTCATAATTTTCTGTGAACTTTGATCGACGTTGTAATTGTGATATAAATGCTTTAAAAATACTAACTATAACATGCTATGGTAATATTGACAATGATTTGAGCGATGTGATAACTATGTAAACGGCGTATAAAGCATGATTGGCCCACTACTGGTAAAATCAAAACATATAGATATAATCTCTATATACTTACATTAATATATACCAACATTATATGTAACCAATCCAATACATCCTTGTTACACGTGCCGAACCATGTAAATGCGCCATACAAATTCATTGTACATTCTCATTAACTATCACGCATATCCTTTTAGTCAGCCTAGTACATACGAGTAGTTCATATCAGATTTATTTCAAGCCATAGAGGGTATAAGATCTATGCAATTGGCACTACGGATGTGGCTGTGTTTAGGAAGCACTTGAGTCAAAAGCCGGTCTACAATGCACTCCAGTTATTATGTATATATAATATTTTTTTAATTATATACATATATCGTATACTGGTAAGCCCAGAGTAGTTCATAGGTCAGAATATGAAACGATGAAGAATTGGCGATTTCGCACTTAATAATGTATTTACGAAAGTCCAAAATGTGAAATAGTTTCAGTTGAAAATGTTTAGATTTTATGACCGATGGTTAGAGATATCTGGAAATCCCACATTGCTCATACGATTTGCAGCCCGATTATCAGAGTTTTTTGTCTGCACATTGTTCATGGCACTCCGTTTGCATGCAACACCCATGTATTTATATGACCCACAGCTTCCATAAACTAGCTAACATTTTCTCAAGTCATGCTAACCTCAACACTCAAGCCCTACACACAAAATGAGCCCCAATCGGTTAATTAATTGGCTACATCCCTTTTAAGATATGCACCAAAAGGAACTTCATTGCCTATTGTAATAAGTGTGTGCGTGTTTTTTGTTTTTTGTAAATGTCTGTCTATCGTTTTCTATACCTGTATCTACACCCACTCAGAAGCACACCCAACACTTGATATAAAACAAATTCTAAATTATTGCCTAACTTCCGCACTGCCAACACAAATACCGACCACTACCACCACAGAAGAACCACTGCACGTACTGCGTTCCCAACATCGAAAATAGCCGTAGCAAATTAACAAAAAAAGAACGCTACCCTTGCGTCCGACACTCTCTTTTATCTCTTGCAGCCCTATCAATTGGCGGGCTCAGCGGTCTCAGCAATTCCCGACCAATCGCCACTGCCACTTCCAGGCACACCCTCCCCAGGCAGTAGCTCGGCGTCGACGGGCTCAGGTTCGGGTTCCGGCAAAAGTAAGAGCACTTACATTATACCATAACCCTGGTTGTCTGAGTATTGCAATGTATTCTCCTATTCTTAGGCACTGATACCATAAAACGCGGTGCCTCGCCCGCTTCTGTAAAGCAGGTCAATATTGTCGACACCGCCAGCCCATACTCAATTGTACAGAAGAAACCTCCCCTGCAGAAGGACGCACCAATAGACGCCACTACACCCAGTGCAGAACACGGAACCAACAACATCGCGACTTTAGATGGAATCACTATCAGCACATCAACCCGAAAAGGCGTTGATTTCTACGAATCGCACAAGACTCAGGTGAAAAGCAGCAATGACGACCCCTACAGCTCCAAGTATGGAAGTCTAGACACGAAGAAAAGCAGCTTTAGCAGCAGCTATACGTCCGGTGGCAAGTCGGCAGCAACCGACGACTACAAGGCTATGCGTAACAAGTCTAGCGCCACATCTTCCTCCTCCTCATCACAGGCGACGGTATTGAGCGCTGGTTCTACGGCCACCTCAGCGCCCACTACATCGTCCGACGATTCCGATGATCTTGTCTCATACAAATCTTCGGCCTCCACCAACGCACTGCTCGCGCAGTCCCAGGCCATGACTACGAGTCAGCTCATGTCCAAGTACTTAAAGCGCGAACCGCGCGTTCATTTTACACCAATTAAATCGCCGGAATCGCCCTCCCCACCTGGTGGAGGAGATGGCCTCCCCAAGGGCACCTATCAGCTGGTCGCGTCTAGCGTAAGTTCAAGTAAGCTTAGTGCCACCACCGGTGCCATCAGCAAGTACACGACTTCGTCATCGTCGACCTCAATGGACACCACCACGAATCTGACCAGCAGCAGCCATAAGCCTGCCTCTCCCTCCAGACATCTGGGTAGCAGTCAGGGCAAGGACGCCAGAGCAGTTTCCGCCACGGTAAGCAGCACTTCTTCGTCCATTGTATCGAGTGGACGGCGCTTATTCGACAGCCTGGCATCGTCATCATCATCGGAAACAGAGACCAAAACGTATATAGGTGGAACCACAGTCGGTAGCAGCGCGGCCAGCACCACCACTTACACGAACGATTCTAGAAACCAAGCGACTAGTAGCAATAAATCAGGTTCTAGCTCAGAGCATAGGAGTTTTGGGAGCACGCTATTCGGCAGCAGCGGCTTGGGAAACGGTAACGGGCACGCCCACTCAAGCACCAATGGCAATGGCAATCACAATGCCATGAACTTGTATGGCACACTTCCCAAGAACGGCGCTGGCAGCAGTTGCTCAGCAGGCGGCAGCAGTGCAGGAGCAGCGCTGTTTGGAACCAGCACTAGCTCCTCATACTATTCGGCCAGCTCATCTGGTGGCGCCACAGCGAGCAGCAGTGGCGTCAGCTCGATGACTGGCTCGACCAACAGTTATGACTTCTATACGGGCAGCAACAACAGCAGCTCACGACCGTTCGCTAATGGGGGAAACAACTACCACACGTTAGGCACGTATCGGGCGCAGTACGCGGCGACCAATCCTTTCCTTGATGCCTTCGATGAAAAGACCAACAATGGGAGTGCCAGTAGTAACAATGGTACAGGCCATGGCAGCTTGTTGTTTGGGGACGACAACAAGTTGGGGGAAAAGGCACATCAGCGCTCGTCCGTCATAGCTTCCTTTCAATCTGGTGATTCGAAGAATGGCAGTGACGAGTACGATGATCTCAAGTGAGTAGCCTTTGGCCAGTCAGCCAGGTGGGGCTATCATAGTACGGGTGGCTTACGCTTGCAGATGCAGATAACGATTAGACGCTGATCGCATTGTTTTTGAGTATTTACAGTTTACAAATTTACAATATACCTAACGCAGTACCCTAGCTACGAAATTGATAAACTATCAATGACTAATGCAAATTAGAGTCTAACCTAATAATAACATATAATATACATACATAATATACAAAATAACTTAAATAACTGCAAGAAGCATAAACGATATTTAAATATTTCAACGAATTTCCAAAAGAAATATCGCAATGACACAACGGCAATCCATAGATAAACAACAACAACAACATGGAGGCATTTAAATGGCTGCCCAATCCAGTCTCCAGTGAGCAAAAAGCTTTTCATGCGCATTATATGTAGCTTAACAGTGCTTCAAAAGCTTTGCATTAACATTTCTCTGTTAACACCGTCGCTGTGAGGCCTAACAGCGGGCAGCCATTTAGTGCCTATAACTGCATCTTAGACGAAATAGCATACCATTTTCGAAAACTAAATGTAAACTCTAAGGTTTACAGTTTTTAATTGAAACACGAACAGAAGGTTGAAACCAAGCATTTAATTTTTACAGTGAACAGTGAAATAAAGAAATACAAACACACATACGCGTAATTTGAACTTCTGCTGAAATCGCATTTGAGGAACAACAAATAACTCAATATACGAGTACATACACACATACAGAACAATCAATCCATTTACTCCAAATCCACAACATACTGTATGTACTTATACATATGTGTGTGTATGTATGTATGTATTTAAATGAGACCAACTCTAAGCTATTAACAACCAACCACAAACATTTTCGAGCAATATATTTGCCTAAAATATTTCGCTAAGCCTCTTATACTACTATATAAACATATACTATATACATGCATAACATATATTTATATATTTATACATATGTATTGCAAAAATATTAGAACATGCTACACATTAATTAAAACCTAAGCTCTTGCCCACAATACACACACACGCACATACATACAAATACACACATGCATGCATACAGACATTCTATATGTACTATGTATGGATGTACAATGGACATCAAGTGCAAGACTCATACACACACACACATTACACATTACACATACACGCATACAAAAAATCATAAATGAATACATGAATTTATTGATAAATCAATGTGCTTAGTTTTTTGTATGAAACAAAGTCTGATATACACACTAATATACAACATACCGTATTATATATATTTATAAACATTTGAACATAAATATACAAACCTAAATATTATACACTAAAACAAACGAACAAACCAAACGTAAAAGTAAAAGTAAAATATATATACATATGTATATCCACTTTGTCGACATGACAAAGTCCTAGAGTTTTTAAAAAGTTATTTTGTTGAAGAAACATAAGCTTTTGACAAATTGCCATCCCCGGCGTGACAGAAAACACTAAAAATACATACATTATAGTACGTTTTGAAATGCAAAAAAAGAACGAAGAGCAGATTTTATGCAATTGAACTATAAATAATTACAAATACGAGTATATTAATAACAATAATAAAGTATATAAAAAGCGATAAAACTGTAAATACCTACAATGTCCCTTGAACTCTAGTGCTTTAGCTAGTTAGTCAATCTGTTAGTCAGTTCTTAGTCGGAGGCATTGTTACCTTTGGGTTGGCTTTTAAAGGCATACTTAGAAGATACTTACATACGAGTAAACACAGAAGCGTTTTATTTTCGGTGGCCAGGGAGCATCGTTAGCAATAAGTGGAAACCCAATTAGCTAATCCCAAAGAATACTACAAAACTTACTTTAGAACACCAAAAGAGCAAATATTTATAAGAGCTATACATACTCGTACTCGTACAACTAAGAGTACTTTATACACGTACATACACGCGTATATACAAGAATATATAAGTTACCTATTTCTATAGAAGAACACCAGCATTAATCATTCGTCTTCATACAAAGTACAACTTCCAAACGCAACTCAACAAGTTACGAGTACATCTCAAGTTCTGACGCAGCTTCACATACGATTACTAACCAATCACCAAATTGTAGCCAAGTTAGTGCGTTATGTGTATTTGGTTTTAACGAACACCACAAGCCAGTTTGAGGATGGGTGGGTGCAGATTTTAAATAGTAAATTGTTCAGTTATGTATGTAATTGTTGTCACATTTATTTTATACGAAAGACATTTTAAGTGTTGAACCGTGAATATCAAACCAAAAACTAAAAACCAAAAAGTTTAAAACAAGAGCAAACATAGTTGATGCCATTGGTTTTTATATAGCGAATTGTTAATTATTATAGCGCGTAGAGTTTTAAAGAGCCAGTAATAAGATTTATTTATGAACTGTTAGTTCTTGAGTTGTACTATAGAGTATGAGCTGGGGCTGGGGCTGGGGCTGACGTCACGCCATTGTTACTAGTAGTCCTGCGAGGAAACATTTTCAATTCGACTCAATTCAATTTGTTCACCAGAAGCTTTAATCGTGGAACGACCCAATAGATACAAATTCAAAACATACTCACAACAAACAAAACATACACCTTATAAGGTCAGCATTTGAACTCATTTGCAATTGTTATTTTCTTAGTAGGCCTGGAATGTTCGCGGCGGGGGCTGCCTTTGCTGTTGCTGTCGTTGTTGCTGTTGTTGTTGCTGTTGCTGGTATTAGAAGTATGTAGATATTGGACTGTTGTTAGGATCTCGTTGTCCGCGAGGATATGACTGTTGCGTGTGTTTCTTGCCTTGATTTTTGCTGCGCTTTAGCTAAATGTTCTGGGCTTGCTTGATAATTGTATTTGTATTAAAGCAAAGGTATATATAGATATATATATATATATAGTATATTATGGAATATATCACTGTGTCATATCGTACATTTACACAAGTAACGAGAGAGGGAAATAAGCAAAATTATTTAAGCAAAATTGTTAAATTAAAGTATTTACACTTACGTAATGAGAAATGAGTAATGAGTATATAGAAAGTAAACTTAACTAAATTTATAGCAGCAGAGCAGCAACTACGATAATATAGTAGAGGAAGGAGCTGGAGCAATTGGCAAACAACTATATACTAACTATATACATATGTACTACAAATTGTATATGCATTTAATCTAGCGTAAATCAATAACTAAATGAGCAACTATGATACCAAATGTTAGCTGACAAAATACAAATATTAAGCAAATATGTATGTTGAAAGCGTTTAGTGAGCAAATATGAATTGATAATAAATACTATAATACACATGCGACAAAATAATGTTAGTTAACCGAAAATGAAAACGAAAACGAATACGATACTGATACTGATACAGATACGGATACAGATACGAGAAACGAACTAATTTACTGAAATGTATTGCACAATATCGTACACATATTAATATTAGTGAAAGTAATTATGAATACGCAACAACAATACGGTGTGCAATTGGTACGAGTAGATATGAATGCGGCGCCAGCAACAACATTATCGAATCCAAATCCGAATCCAAACCCAAATCCGAAACCGAATTTTGTTTTCAGCTTAAAAGACGAAAAAGCTTATAATACATGTATAAATCTATTGTAAATCCGTTCACAAGCTAGTACATACTTCGATCTGTTCACGAACGTATGTACACGTATAGAATTGTTATTTTTTGTCCTCAACTCAACCAACCGAAGATCCCAACTGTGTAGTTTTGGATAATTGGTGAATACATATGTCTAAGAATATATTAGTATGTGAATTGATGTTTGTATTAAATGTGTGCCTAAAAGTATGATTTTGAGTTTTAACCGCAACACAAATCACAAATAATACATATACCTATTGGAATATTTGTTTATGTATGTGTGCCTTGGTTGCAAATCTTTGTCACTGTCACTTTTCGGGGATTTATTTTAAAACGATTCAAAGGCATATTTGTACAACGATTTCTGCTGTCGAACTTAACAAGTAATGGAGACCAAATGCTCAGGGCTTTAGTGAGTTTTAATAAGCATTATATACAATGAAAATACAAAACAAAACAAAACGCAGTCATACTTATAATAAGTGTACCAGTATTACATCATGAGCATCCTCCATCAATCAACCTATACGCATTTCAGCTCTCAAAACGACACAACAAAGACAACAATCTAGCAACAAATTTACAAACCCAAGCAATCAATTTGTTAAAAAGACTGAATTCATAAAAAATACAATCCCCAGAGATGGAAAGACGGCCGGCTAGAGCTAGAGCCATAGCCAGAGCCAGAGTGATTTCAAACGAAGCGAACAGCAGCAAACTAACGACTGTTTCAGAAAATCCCCAACTCGAAAAGTTCTTTCTCAATAAGTTGACGAATCTGTTGTTACTTAAACCATAACTAGCGCCCCCATTAAGCTTAAGCTATTAAAAGTCCTTAAAGTTATAGAAAGATGATATTAACGCATAACATATGGCCATACGCATACACCATCGTGGAACGATTATGAAAGTAATCCAATCTACTTACAATAGTCTACTTACAATAGTATTTCTGAAAAGGAGATGGTATTAGAGTAGCCGAAATGTTCTAGTAGAGAAGTAAACAAATGTATATCGTAACATAGGGAGGGCGACCGACTCTTAGATTTCGATTGTGCTCGTATTTTGGAATGATTTCGAGTCTCACCACCACAAAACACCACAAAAAATGTAAGCAAGGCAGAATATAAGTGAAGGCGTATTTTAAATACATACTAGTCCACATTGTTTATGAATCTCCTTCATCGTTTCAATCAATCTCACACTTTTCAATCGCAATTTGTGAACTGTGCAGAGGCCAGCAGCAGCAATATTTCCATGTTAATATCCAAAACAAATGCATTAACCGTTTATATGTATGTACATAAACATAATTACATATAAATATAGATAAGCATATGTATAAATAAATGCGCAGCAGCAATGGAAAACCAAACTACTTAAATCGCAAAGAATGTTTCTTGGAGAAGTAGCAGAAACTAGTGAGAGGAGAGAAGAGCCAGCAACAGAACAGAGCGAAACAGAATAGAAAAGATAATACTCTGATTTACCACTGCCACAAAGTTAAAATTATAGTTAATATAGACTTTAACATAAAAAGATATATTCTTTTCATATAGCATTACATTATTCATACATATATCGAATCGACAGCCCGGGAGGAGAAAGAAATCTACAACAATTATACAACATGCCTAACAAATACTAAACAAGTGAAAATGGTAAAAAATATGATGGTATAATATGTTTGCACAAAACAAACAGGAGATATAATAAACATCAAATACATAACATAACTTCAAATTATTGTTTATTCTGAATAATAAAACGATAACAATAAAGATTATCTCATTACAATTAAAAACTGAATCCGAAATAGTTCTTTGCGTGAGAATTAAAAGATGTTACATTATTTAATGAAAACATATAATAAATATAATTAAAATGATACCCGTATCGTGTTTCATTTGCACCTCGTCCGGTATATTATTCTATAATATTATAATGCCTCCCCATATTATGGCCATTCATCATACGCAAAAACATAATGGATCGAATTCGATTGAATTAGAAGAAGCTGCAAATCTCTTTACCTGCATATATTTTACACCTATCTGGTTGCCCCTTCCCCGGATCTTCTAGTCTAAGTTTCTTCACTTGATGAAACACCTCTCGCATATCTTCCTCCAAACTGCAAATGGCATCTCTCTGAAGCGATTTCACATGCTAACCATTGATGGCTAGAGGCGAACATCTTCTGTCCTGGATTTTCTCAAAATAAA